CAACATGCTGGCTGGGGAATTCTGGGAGTTGAAGTCCACACATCTTCAAGTTGCCAAGGTTGAGAAACACTGCTATAAACTGTAAATAAATATGTTACACATAATTGTTCACACCACTTTCCATAATCTGCTGACAGGTGCCTTTACTTAACCCCATCAAAAGCTGGTGATATTCCTGATTTGCCCTCAATTTATTTCTGCTTCCAGGAAACTGCAAAGGGCAGGCAAGAGGGATTGAAGTCATGTTAAAGGATTGGTTGAGCATGAACGATCAATCTGTACAAAAATAGACAAAGTCCTATTGGACTGTACACCCTCTGGGGGCAAACAGGGGAATGACAACACCCGGAAGAAATCAAGCAGACGAGATGCCGAAGAGCAGAGGAGAAGGGCTACTGCAACTGCAAGTCACTGTGCAGGAAAAGCTCACCCTTCCTAGGTATTTCCAATCCAAGAGATCAGAAAGCCTCTCTGTGCGGTTTCTCTGGATAATGCGCTGCCGCCGTGACTGCTGGCAGAAACTGTAGAGGAAAGAGGTCAACTGTGTGCACGACTCATCCAAGGCCCGGAAACGTCTATCCAAGATGTAGATCCCTGGCAGGAACCAGAAAGATTTCAGAGGATCTGCATCACCTTGATCCAGCAAAGAGAACTAACGATTGATCGAAGTAAGGCAAGGCTGAGTTTCTTATGCTCAACCAAATGGGTGTTGCCTGAGATGCAAGGGAATAACTTAACAGAAAACGTTTTAGCTGTACAGACCTCTACTTACGAACTTTCGAGTTACGAACTTTCGCTGGTACAAACAAACCTGTCCAGAACTCCAACTCCAACTCCAACTCCAACAAGAGGAGGCAGAAGCTGTTAGGCAGCACCCGTTGTGCATTGGGAGGCTGTGATCTTCAGCCTTCCTCCTGCAAGGCCTTGCGAAGGGCCAGCAGTTTCCAAAGCAAGCTGCAGAGCGCATGCTGTGGCTCTAGGAAGTGCTTGTCCCTCTGCTTCCTCCAGTTCCGCCACCAGCCTGAACAGCACCTCCTGCACAGCTCCCACCTTCACCCTGGGAGCCACCACCACCTCTCCTGCCTTGCCCGGTGATGAAGCGTGCTGTGTGCCCCAACAGCTCATCTCACTCTGCTCTCCACAGTCTGCAGGCTATTGCTCCTCGCACTGGCAGCAGAGGACAGGGCTCCTCTGCCCACACCACTGCCCTGCCTATTGCTTCCTCCTCTTTTTTTTACTTTTTATTTGGTTGGACTTATGAACAAAATGGACTTAACAGTCTCTTCGAACATAACCTGTTCGTAAGTAGAGGATTGTCTGTACACAGTACATATCTGCCTTTATGATGCTCAGCCACATACAGAAGTATTCAAATTGCTCAGTCTTCTCCAACCAGAATCCCACTGATCTTTGAATTCTTGCTCCACTATGCCCTAGTACACCTTGCTTTAATCAGCTAAGTCTGGACCAGAACAGGCAGAATGGAATCATCCTAGGTCATTTCTCCCTATTTTTTTCCTCCAGAAACATATTCTGTCAAGACCCAACTGAAGGAATTATCCTCTGGTCGAATAAGGATTGCAGGTGCTCCTGTGGTGCCAATCCCTGTTCCCAGGTGCCTCCAAGTGATACCAACCGTAGGCAGATGGATCCGCTATGTGTTCCTCCATAAAGCAGCCAAAGCCAGAGAGGTTGGTGGAAATGCTGGGGATGCCCATAACAGTGCATTCAGCTGGAGGATAAAAGAGAGGACATTTGAGGGCACAGAGGGATGAAATCCCGGGGATATGCACTACCTCAAGAATTTACCGTGCAGCCTGTTTATCTTCGGTCATTTGAGTTTGGTACACTTTCCACTCCCTACAGATATTATTTACATATTAAGAATACTTAACAGCAACCTTCAGGTTCTGTTCAGAATTACCAGCAGAACTTTGTTTCAGGCATTACAAGAAGCTGTGCTTTCCTCACAATTTACACTTACTTACCTGTCCCACCTTTCCATTTCCGCAATGATTCACAATGCAATGTTGCTTCTATCATCTCTTCTGTTGAGGTTCAGAGGTGAGTGTTCATCCTTTTCTAGCCAAAGCAGCATTACTCACATATAATAGTGCACAGTTTGCATGGAAAGCTGACGGGCTACTGGGGGAGGAGGAAATGATATGGAATAACCTGGGATAGGGCAGGGCTGGCTAAAAACAGTAGCAATCTACTGCAGTGTTTTATTATTGCCCCCACTTGTATATTTCCAAAGTATTTTAATGTTAGATTACTCATTCTGAACAGGTTTTCCTTGCTTATGTGACAGCAAAAATAAAAATGTTAAATTGTATATAAAACATACACCTCCATTATTTCTAATAGCTCTGTCTCTTTAAACTAAGAAATGAAGGAAAAGCCATCACTTAGGAAAGTACATATAAGTGAATGGCTAAAAAAGGCCTTATAGGTTGCAGTGGGCCAAAACAATGACAAATTACATTAAAAGAAATGGATTTCAGATGAAGAATTCAAGAACTGACCATCTTGGCTCTTTCTCTTCCATCATTTTTAGAAAGCAAAGTTACTAGGCCTCAAGACTAACAAGATGCACTTGGAATTATGTGCATAACATACCTGGTACAATCTTGCAACATTTTAGTATCCATTTTTTGGCCTCTGTTTATAAACAGAAACTGAACAAATTAAAGTATAGCCAAAATGTTTATGAATTTGTCTTATTCCAAAGAGACTATACTTGGGGAAATTGCCTGGAAATTTCAGTTTCATCATGAAAGAAAAGCAGGTTGTCAAAATGAAATTTTGCCCCTTTCTCTGAATACTCTCCCAGATGTTCTCATTTCCTACTGCTCCTCCATTTTTCCATATTTCCTCTTGCTGTTAAACTGCTCACTGTTATACACCGCTAAATTATGCAAAAAATAAATCTTGAGATTCACATAGATGTCTTCAAAGTGAGCACAACCCTGTAATCAATACTTCCTTTCCATTGGTATCCATCTGCATTGCCAGTTTCTGATCACAGAAATACTAGTGTATATTTTCAGTACCCAGGTGCGCTGGGGGCTGAGATAGTACCCACAAGCCTGCCCCTACAGCACACCTACCTGGAGTGTAGCCCCATGGCTCATAATAAGAAGGGAATACCCCCAAATGGCAGCCTCTAACAAATTCTTCATAGTCAACTGGAAGCAAGGGACTAGTGGAAGACAGAAATTCTGGATGGAAGATGACCTGGGGGGAAGAAAAGGAAAAAAGAGAGATTTTATTTATTTGTGTTTATATACTCACAAATACTCTCTGACACTAGGAGTCAGACTCAAGAACTGACTCCTAGTGGTTTACATAATAAAAAAACCCATAAAAACACAATAATGATACAGTGGAACCTCAGGTTACGAATTTAATTCGTTCCGTGACTCTGGTCGCACCCCG